GCGAGCAGAGAGTGATTGAGGATGGAGAGGCAGAGGGGAAAATAAAGTCAAGAAGTGAGGAGACTGCAGCACGTTGATTGAAAAAAAGCCTCCTGTGTGCTCTGAAGGGTCGTGCCAAGTGTGAGAATTCAGGAGGAGGGGAGAAGTGAGCACCTGAGCTGGGCTTGCTGAGATTTACTCCAGGTACGTGGTGGCAGATGGAGCTCACATCCTGAGAGAGGCTGAGAGGTGAAAGTCATAATGAACAGCCTTCACAAGGTAAAAGCAGAAGAAATATTAGAGCTGTTACAGGAGAGCAAGCAGGAGATGTTCAGATTTATGAGTTCTTTTGGAGAGCGGCCATGGTTTGTCTTTATTTCCTAGTAACTGGTTCTTGATTTGAGCTTTGTCAGGTCATCAGATTAGTGCCATCAGCTCTGAAGGGTTTTCAGCCCTTCCTTTGGATCATCTAGCAGGCTCAAAATGAACATGTGGAGTGCAAGCAGGATCTTCTTTTGGGGGAGCTGTCCTGAAAAGCAAAAGCAATGGAAAAAAGTAAGGACAGAGAGAGAGAGAGGATTTTATTATGGCACCATCTGTCTCCTCGCTGTTAATATTTCTCTCCCCTCTTTGCAGCGATTCTGAAAATTGAAGGATGGATGTTGGGTTTAAGGGTTGAAGGATGGGTGTCGAAGGTTCCGGAAGGGACCATGGTTGTGGCTGTCCCTCCACAGATATGGGGGTCTGGCTGGAGGCCCCTGTGTGACATCGATCCTAAAAGTAACACACAGAGCGAGCCTTGGCTTGGAGTGGGGCCAGCGAGTGAATTCCAGCTCGGTGCTCCTTTCCCTGGCCCCATTCTCTCCTTCCTTGCTCTGCTTCATTTGAGGATTGTGCTGAGGGACCAGACCTGTCTCAGGCTGTGTGCTTTTTGCACAGCACCTGCAACAGACCCCTGCTGGATGCTACAGCACCCTGGCAAGGGCTCTGCCCTCGTGTTTTTCAGCTGACCCAAGGATTTCAAACAGCAGTTTCATTTTTCCTCTTTTAATTTAATTGGAGAACGTAAAAGGAGCTTTTGGCTTTTACTGGTGGAACCTGAGGAGGACTGAAGCGGTTTAAACTCAACAGACCTTAATCGTGCAGGGCAGTCTTCTAAACTTTTGTTTACCTCCTGTGAGCTGCTGAAGAGAGGAGGGGAAAAAAGGGAAGAAAAGAAAAAAAAAAGAGGAAAAAAAGGCAGCTTTCAGTTACTGAACCCCCTCGTGGTATTGAATTCTAACCAAGTACATCCAGCCCTGCCAGCCAGAAATGCCAAAAGGAGGAAAGCTGCTGAATCAGAGGAGAATCAGGATTGGGAGGATGGTAGGGAATATGAGAGTAGCACTGGGTGAGTTCATTTGATAGACTTATTGCTCTTTTGTATTTGCAGATCATCTGGGAGCAAACTTCTCGAGGTTTTTTTATTATCATCGCCGGGTTTTGTTCCTAAATTATTTAGCAAATGTTTTCTGGGAGCTGCTTCCAGCATATAGATTAGTTATCCCCAGATAGTTGCTGGTCTAAGGAATAAGTTCTGCAGCTCTGAGCTGAGCTTGCAAGATGCCAAATCTTTGAGCACCCTGGGCTGGGTAAACGAGGAGCTCCTGGTGCTCTGCACCCCTTGGGTTCAAATCTTATTTACAGGGTGGAGAGTGCTCACTTCAGTGCTGCTGTTTCCATTCTGCTCCCCCAGTGAGTGACTCTGGAGGGTTTTTCAAATCCCTCGAGATTTGAAGGTTCCTGCCACCTCCTCAGAGCCACCCTGGCACTTTGTGCTGCTGGGGGGCCCCGGTGGGCTGGCAGCACGTGGGAGGTGATGGACACCGAGGTCCAGCAGCAGCACAAGGTCACCAGGCTGGCCTGGGGCCCTTTCCTGACCCTCCCATGGCTCTGCAGTGTCCTTCTCCTTGGGACAGTGTCTCTCAGTCACCAGCTGGGAGTGTGGGCATGGTTTGGGAAGTTTGCTGAGTGCCCTTCCCTGCCAGGGTGGAGCAGCCCTGGGCACTCAGAGTGGACAGAGCTTTGCAGCCGTGGTGGCTGGGATGGAGCTCATCCTGCTGTGGGCTGTTCCAGAACCCCCACATTTACCAGGCAGTCACTTCTCTTTAATTTCCCAAGCAGAGACATATTTGACCCCAAAATGAAATGATCCCACTGCTGGTGGGAGCTCCGAGCAAGTGTCCATTTCCCTGAAGACTTCACTGGGTGTAGAAATCCAGGGCTTCCCTCTGGCTGCCCTGGGACCCTGGCAGGGTCAGGAACCCCCCTGGACAGAGCCCCCAGAGACACTGGCTGTGATCTCTGGCCATGGAAAAGAGTTTTCAATCTTACAGGATCAATTACAAGTTTGATATCAGTAATAATTAAGTGTGGCACGGGTGCAAAAGTAAAATTTTAGGATTCTAGATGAGGGGTCCAAAGGGGACAAGATGGAGGAAATTGGGTGTGCCTTGTCCTTTTTCTCCTTCTTCATGCCCTCCATGTCTCACTGTGGTGTTGGCATTTTTCTGTTGGTTCAGGCTGGGGACACACTGTCCAACGTAGGTGACAGATATTGGCACGTTCTTGTCAATGCAGCCCAGGGAGTTTCTGGTATTGAATGTTTGTCACATCCCACTGAGGGCAGAGCCCCACACGCTGCCCTGCAGGACAGAGCTGGGCAGGGCAGCAGAACATGTGAGAGATCAACAGAATAAACAACCTGGAAACCAGCACAGACCAATTATGGCTTCTGCTTTGGCAGGGGGCTGACAGACAGAGACTTCCTACAATCTCAGAATTATCAATACCTCAGATTGTGACAACTGGGGTGCCAACCCAAACCCAATTGGATTTTGAGGCACCAAGCAGCCCCTGTGGCACGTTTTCAGCTCGTTTATTGTTTTGAAAAATGCCAGTCTGGTGGCATTATCAGGAAACTGAGGAGATACAGCAGGAATGTCTTTGCTGAGAGTGGTTTGCTACAGGAAGCTGTGCAGTCATCAGCTGATTAATGCCAATTTATTTAGAAATAGAGTCTGGCCGTGGCTGTCTGCTGCTCCAAAAGATCCTGTTGTGTCCTTTCACACTCGCTGGAGCATGTTTGCTAAAGTTGCTGTTGCATATGTTTGGGCAATAAAACATTTACAGCTATTTCAGAAATTGCTGCAGTAGGCAGTTTTCCTCATTAATTTTACCATGCTGGATGGGATTTCACGAGGTGTGAAGGCGTGCAGAGTCATACCTGACACCATCCCTGCTCCTGCTCGTAATGCCAACCTTTTTAAGGAAAAATGAAATCAGAAGGGGATGTTTTGGGGGGAATGGAAGTGGCAGCTCCACATCCAGTGATCAGCCAGAGAATCACAGAAAATCCTGAGCTGGGAGGGATCCACAAGGATCATCCATGTCCTGCTCCTGCAGATTCACTCTGATTGTTCTTTGCTCCTTCTTGCCCAAGACTATGGAGACTTTAGAATCCTTCGGGGACCCTGCAGGGAGAAAGGGGCTATAAAAATATAACAATAATGATTTCTTTCTCCCGCCTCCATCTGAGGAATCTCTGAGCGTGTTTCAAATATCAAAGAGCAAGAAACCCATTGTAGTGCTGTCCCCTGGGTAAAGGTGGGAAAAGGAAGCCCTGAGAGGTATCAGGAATTGTACAAGGCTAAATGGAAAGCAAGCAGCAGATCAGGAGACAGACCTGAGGGCAGAACCTTTGGGTTCTGACCCTTTTTGCAGGAGCTGTCCTCATTTTGGGGAGAGTTTTTTTAATCTGTGCCCTTAAACACTTCATATCTGGTCGAGATTTGGATGTTTCCTGCAGAAAGAAGGCTTCTCTTCCATTTTAAAAGGGATGCCTGCACTAAAATACAAGAAATCAAAGAATGCTCTGCTCCATCCTCTGTCCCAGAGCTGTATCTCAGCCTGAGTCTCCTGGAAATATTAAGACAGATGATGGATAGAGACAGGTCAAAGCAGAGAAGCTCTGGAATTATTCTTTTCATATTCCAAAAGAATGAGCTCATGTTATTCCTCACTTTCAAATTTGTCCCAATTTATGGGGTAGATAAGGCTGGAATTTTGAAGGGCAACATCACGAATTGCTTTTCTTATTGATTGAGCTTTTAATGTGCCAACAATGAAAACAATAAAACTTGCATTTAAAAACAAACATTTCTAGCACAGGAGCTGCATTAAAATGACACAAATTGCTTTTGTGGGCTGAATTTAACAGAACACCCATGAGGTTCCACTTAAAAACAACAAGCCAACAAAAATCAAATTGCATTGTTTTACTGGCAAACAAAATGGTGAGCACGCCTTGGGCTACGTTTTCAGCGTGTTTTCTTGGGAGATCAAAGCTTAAATCCCATTAACCCTTCAAATGTCAGCCTGGTGAGTTCCTTGCCTTTACCTCTGAGCTTCTGGTGCTGCCTTCAGCAGGGAGCCAGGGCTCTGCCTGGGTCTGCTCCTCCTCCTCCTCCTTTCCCCCACCAGCATCTCCACCTTGTAAGTGGGCAGAGTTCAAACAGCCCCTTTAGCCAGCCCACGTTGCTTCCCCACTTTACTGACTTGGAGATCTGGCCAGGAGCCAGCACTCAAATACATTTATTTTGGTTTTTTTACCGCTCACTGTGATGCCTCAGGTTTGGCTTTTCTATTTTTCAGGTTCTGTGCTGCTTCAGTGTGTAATTCTGGGCTTCACATGAGGAGATGCTGAGCTCTGTGCACAGAGCAGGGACACAAAACAATTCCTGCTCCAGCTGGGCACCAAGGACAAATGATCCAAACCTCAGCCCAGGAGCACAAACACCGTGGGCTGGAGAGAGAAAAACAAGCAGGATGGGACTGATGGGCTGAAGCTGGAATGGGACAATGAACTCCAAGGTGCCAATGGAGCAGAACTGATCCCAGGGAGAGCCCCCGGGAGCGCTCGTGCATTTTGGGACCATTTGGGTTCATCTTGGGTTCATTTTGGGACCATTTTGGTTCACCTTGGGTGCAGCCCTGGCTGGGCTCTTGTGCTGCCCACGGTGCATCCATGGAGGAGATCCTTTAATAAATCCCTGCTTTGTTCTTCAGCTCTGTCCAGCTCTGTTCTAGGCCAGTTTTCGTTACCCCCCTGGCAAGTTGCTGAATGGCTTTGTTGGCCAGCAGAGCGATTTTGGAGCAAATTAAGATTTGTTGGGTGCTTGTTAAAGACATCAGGTATGTTGGTGGTGGATAGCTGGTCGCTCACAGTGAAGGAAAACTGATTTATTTTGGTGTTTGTCACCTGTTCCAACCACCACTGGACATCTGACATGCTTCCTAAATAAATAAATGCCCACCAAATGCCACTTCCTGAGGGTTTGCTGCTTTCTCAGGGATAATAAATGAATATTTTGCACAAATATGTGGTGGGCCAGCTCCTAATCTGCCTTCACCCTCATTTCCCTGCTCTGCTGGGGCCTTGCCTCTTGGGCAAATACAAAAACCCTTCCAAGCAGTTGTTAATTCCGAATATCTGCGTGTCCACATACATGACAAGGATCAGGAAAACAGAACAGGTGCAGCATTTTGGGACTTGTTTGGGAGCAGGGAAAGATTTGGGGAGCATGGAAAGGTTTGGGAGCATGGAAAGGTTTGGGAATGTGGAAAGGTTTGGGGAGCAGCAGCTTCTCCCCTTTTCGGGACTGGTTTGAGTGCAGGGAAAGGTTTGGGATCATGGAAGGGTTGGGAAAGCAGCAGCTACTCCTCCTTTTGGGACTGGTTTGGGAACATGGAAAGGTTTGGGGAGCAGCAGCATTTTCCCCCTTTTGGGAGTGGTTTGAGGGTAGGGAAAGGTTTGGAAGTGTGGAAAGGTTTGGGATCATGGAAAGCTTGGGAAAGCAGCAGCTACTCCTCCTTTTGGAACTGGTTTGGAAGCATGGAAAGGTTTGGGATCATGGAAAGGTTTGGGGAGCAGCAGCTTTTCCCCTCTGAATATTTGGGAGCTGTAAGGTTTATCCACCCCAGCCTGTGGTGACACTGAGAGTCCCACGGATGCTCAAAGCATTTGGAGACGTGCCAGCAGAAAGGGGTCAAAAGGGAGGATTTTTTTTTTTTTTTCCCCCCCCCGTGAAATCCAGGGGAAAAAAAAAAGTACAGAAAGAAAAGGGAAAGAAGGAGCCTGAAGTGAGGAGCCGTGGCAGAAGGTGGATGTGGCCCAGCTCACCCAGGAGCAAACTGCATTTCCCCTCGCTGGGCCTCCTGTGCACATGCCAGAGCTGACTGCAGAAATGTGCAGCTCCAGTGCCAGCCCACAGCTGTGTGCAGCTGTGGCCAGCTGTGCCTCCCAGCCCCTCACAACTGGATTTTCACACAGGAACATCCCCTTCCCAAAGGGCTCCCCCAGCTCGTGGAAAACACAGCCTGTTGTTGGGAGGGCATTTTGGGGAGGTCTTTACACCCCCAAATAACTCAATTTGGGATTTCTTTTTCCAGTCCCACACCCTCCTGCCCCCTTTCCCTTTAGGAATGCCTCATCCTTGTTCTTTCCAAGAGAAAATGAGAGTTCAGCTCACTGAGCTTTCCTTTTGGAGGATTGGGATGTGAAACCTTGAAAGGCCAAGGACACAAATATGATCTGTGAGCAGGGACAGGACCTGGGGGAACAACTGGAGCTGTGTCAAGGGAGGTTTTGTTGGATTTTAGGACAAGATTCTTCCCCCAGAGGGTGTCAGGCACTGAACAGCTCCCCTGGGAATGGGCACCAAGGCTGCCAGAGCTCCAGGACAATGCTCCGAGGGACAGGGTGGGATTTTTTGGGACTGTGAAGGGTCAGGAGATGGACTGGATGACCCTTGTGGGTCCCTTCTCACTCAGGATATTCTGTGATTCCATGAAATCAGGGTTGTGTCCTCCTGAACACCAGCAGGGACACTCTGCCACAGGATGGCAGTGCCTGTTTGTCACCCTGCAGTGCCCATGTGGCACGGCAGAGTCCCTAAATCCCTAAATCTGTCCCACAAACCTCAGGCACAGAATAGCATCTCCATTTTCCCTAAATCTGTCCCACAAACCTCAGTCACAGAATAAAATCTCCCTTTTCCCTAAATTTGTCCCACAAACCTCAGGCACAGAATGAAATCTCCCTTTTCTTTAAATTTGTCCCACAAACCTCAGTCACAGAATAAAATCTCCCTTTTCCCTAAATCTGTCCTATAATTCTCAGGCACAGAATAAAATCTCCCTTTTCCCTAAATCTGTCCTACAAACCCTGGGCACAGAATAAAATCTCCTTTTTCACCCTGATGTGCAGGTGCTTCAATGCCATAAATCAACAACAAATGCCATAAATCTGAGGCAAATGAGAAAGGATAAGAGGAAGAAGAAAAGAGGAAAAATATTTGAAAGGTTTTTATTAGTTTAGAAGCTGGCTGATGATGGATTGGATGATTTGAAAGGTCTTTTCCAACCTGAGTGATCCCATGAAGTTTGCTTGAGAAGGTTCAAGGAGAATCTCTCATTCAGGAGCAGAAGGTACAGAAGTTTTGTTATTTTCATTCCTATTCTTAATTTACTCTAAATCTGTGAAGAGGAAAACTGAATTTTATCATGGGTGAGCATAAAAAAAAAAAAAAAACAACCAACCAAACAAAAAAAAACCCAGCCTTTTCCAATGTCTTTATTTCTGGCAGTTTGGGGATATTTAGGAGTGGCAGAGGTTGTTATTGCATATAGGAAGGTTTTATTGCTTCCCCTTCAGTGCAAACTCGGTTGTGTCTGTCCCCTCAATTTCCCCTTTTGCCACTGGGACGAGGAAATGAAGAGAAAGGAGGGAAACACCAAAAAACCCAGCACTTTTTCCCTTTGCCTGCCACTCAGAGCCTGCCCATGTTTTTTGGGGGAGAGGAGAAGCCAAAATGTATCTCCAGACACAGATTTTGCTTTCTCAGACAGGACTGGAGAGGAGCTGGGAGGGGATTGCCTGTGCCACCCTCTGCCATGGGTTTTGTCTCTGCAGCTCGGCAACTCTTGCAGAGACTTGTCCCAAAAAATTCACATTCCACAGCCAGACCTGCCAGGACGCTGCTTTTTCCTCAGTTTTCCGGGGGATTTCAGGAGCGTGGGGAGCTGCAGTAATGCTGTGCTGGAAACCCAGATCCAGGGAGAATTCCCCTGCACAATGGGTTGCTTTTAGAGAGGTTTGCTCCGAACGCAGAGTCCAATTTCCAATGTGAAGCGAGGTGTGATTTTTAATTTCGTTTTGTATGGGTTTGGGTTTTTTTTTATTTTTTTTTTTCCCCCTAATCCCATCATCATTATTCTGCTCTGAGCCCCTCTGCCAGAGGCTGGGGCTGGTTTGAAATGCAGCTCCTTCCCCTGGTGCTTGCACGGAAGAAAGGCTGACCTGGACACTGGGTGGCCGTGCCCAGCACTGGTGGCACCATGACAGGATTCCCAAAATCCTTAAAATCCATCCCCTGCTCTGAGGCTGCTTTGCAATTGGGAATATCCCTGTTTTATACTTGCTGTGGGATGACTGATGTGGTTTCTTTCCACAGTGAAGAATTCGGATGGGTTTTGCTTCCATCTGAGGGTTGCTGTGATGTAACACAGAAACATCATCCCCTTACGGGGTGCTGGTGGTGCCTTTGGGGTGGGAATGTGGGATCCCACCCCTCTGGCGTTCCCACAGGGTCGTGCTGGACTTTTCTTTATCCCACAGACACGCTGAGGTTGGCCAAGTGGAACTTTTCCCCAGCTCTACATTCTCACGCGCCATTTCTGTACAGGAAAGTTAATATCTTGGGTTTTTCCTTTTGGAAAGTGAAGGCATCAAACAAGCAGGACCTGGTGGGCTCCGGAGGCATCCTGGAGGCATTAGATATGGCTGGCATTTGATCCAACAACTGAGGCTTCCCTGGTTTCGTGGTTCCCCCTTTCTCGTGCCCGTGCGCGCACAATGGGCCCCATTATCAGCGCCATGTGCAAGCCCCAGAGAAGGGCAGATGTTTCCCACCCAAAAAATTCATTCCTCTCAGGCTGACACACAGAGAGGCCTCTCCCCAAGACCTCCAAGGTGCACGTTTCTGGGGGTTTTGTGCACATTTGGGGAGCAGCAGAGAATTCCCTCCCTGCCTGGTTTGCTGACGTTCCCAGCAGGAATAAAAGCTGGGATGGTGGAGGAGAGCGGCTGCTCTCAGCTGGAGCGTGCTGAGGGCTCTGGGCATGGACACACCTGGACTTTGGGAGAGTTTTTTTCCATCAGAATAATTTCCTGATCGTTGGTGTCAATGCTTCTTGGATAAAAACTGCCCTTGGAGGGGATGGGATTGATGTGCAAGTGTTTAAAGAGGGATCTCTGTGTCTAAAAATGGATCTAAACCTAAAATTCTAGGTTTAAAAAGGGGACCAGCGAGGTCTGAAAGGAGATCTCTGGGTCTAAAAAGGGATCTCTAAGTCCAAAATGGGATTTCCAGGCCTAAAATGGGATTTCTAGGCCTAAAAGGCATCGCTAGGTTTAAACCAGGGTCTCTAGGCCTAAAATGGGATTTTGGGGTGTAAAAAGGGATCTTTAGGCCTGAAAGAGCATCTCTGGGTCTAAAAAGGGAATCTCTGAGCTTGAAAGGGCATCTCTGGGTCTAAAAAAGGAAACATCCAGGTCAAAAAAGAGGATCACTAGGTGTTAAAAGAGTGGGATCCTGGATGCTGGGATCCAGGATGTGCCACCCCAAAGTGGCAAGGGAGGCAGTGGGAAGAACAACCCCAAACCCAAATTTTCTTGTCACCAGCTCAGCCCAGAAAATGTGTTCTTCCATGAGCAGCTCCGCTCAGCCAGGCCCTGTCCTGCCAAAGACACATTTCAGGGAAATCAGGGCATGGGAAAAACACAGGCACTCCCCACATTGGTCACTCGGTACCTAAGTGAGGTACAAATTGGGGTACCAGGGTGATAGAGGGTGTTCAACCCAGGAAAAGGTGCTGGGGGGGAATCTCTTGGGAAAAAAAGGCAAATTCTGGTATTTTCCAGGTGTGTGAAATGGGATCATGTTCTCCTGCAGTGAACTGGAAGAAGAGAACATTTAAATTCTAAATATTAAGTCACCAAACTATTGATAAAAGGATGCTTTTCATTTAAGCTCTTGCCTCCCTGTGAAAAACCATTGTTTTGGGAAAAAAACCCAATTTATTGACTCTGTTTCTACTCAAGATGGAGCATTCTTGAAGTGGAGGTGTGCTTCCCATCCTCTTCCAAATTAAATGCTCCAATTTTCCATTTGGAAATTACTTTTTACTTCCATTTTTGTATAGCATGAATACTTTTTTTAAAAAAAAAAAAAGTATTTTTTAAATATTGATTTTAATATTAATAGAAAAGTATTTTTCTATTTTGACTTTTTTTTAAAAAAAAGCCAAAAATAGAAATGGAGTTATTTGGATTTTAGCTGGAGCTGGGGAGGAAATATTTTGTGTGGGAACTGAGAGGATCTTTGAGTATCTCAACATTTTGAGCCCTCCTTCTATTCTGATTTTCCAAAATACACCTCAAAAATGTGGGGAGAAGCAGAAATCCAGGAGAGATTCCAGCTTACAAGGAGCAGCTCAGTGTGAAGGTCAGCTCTCCGTGTTCTTGCACAGCACGTGCCAGAATATTTCACTGCTGGGACAGAAAGTCTGTATTTAAGTAGCAATAACTCACACGAGGGATTGACAGGTTGGAATGCACCTGGTTCAGGCTGTTGGTCGCTAATATCATTCCCAGTTTTCTCTGCTGAAAGGCAGCTGGGATAGTTTATGGGATGTCCAGCCTTTCTTAGAGCTGTTTTACTTAAATATGCCCCCAAATTAAACTCCTGGGGTGGGATCCCTCGAGGGACAGATAAATTTAGGAGTGTGGTGGAAAAGCCTCCGTGTTTCCCACGTGGCTGTGCCAAGCTCATCCCTTTAAAGACACCCCCCCAAAAAAAACCAACAGAACCTCCCCAAAATTCACCAGTTGCTGCTGAAAATTGAGGCCAAGCTCCTGAGCTGGCAATATTGTTTGGAAACAATGGAGCTGGATGAGATGAGAATTATTTTAACACTTCGGAAGGCTGCCAAGTCATTTCCTTCTCCTTTATTGATTTTTTCCGTTGCCAGTAAATATATCTGCGGCAGCAGGATGAAAGGAGAGGGGGGGAAAAAGCAAAGTGTTAAGAAGGAGACTGAAACAAGATATGTGCCCTGAACCTCTGGGAAGGAGGAGGACATTTTAAGGCAGAAGGAAGCAGGGGATTCATGGAGGCATTTCACGGGGTTAGACGTGGTAGCAGACAGCCCAATATTATTTTCCTTGCCTGATCCTTTACTTAGATTGGCTCCTGTTTCTTCCCCTGATTGTGCAGTCCCTGCGTGAGCTGCTCTCCCTGTAAAGACATTCCACCTACATTCCTTTGCCACCGGGTGAGAGGAGGGGGGAGTGCAATTATGTGGGCAAGCCAGACACAAAAGGCTCTGCTCCACAGCTCAAGCTCATAAACTTCAGTTAACTTTTCCCCTTTAAAAAAAAAATATTAAAAACCCCTCAAAAAACCAACCAAACCAAAAAAAAAAACCCCACCAAAGACTCTGTTCCTCTCCTACCAGCCTGCAAGTGAAGGGTTTGGAGCTGTAACTATCCCACCTATAAATATTTCCCTCCCCAGCACTCTGTAGATCACCACAGAATAAATAGGTTTAAATTTTTTTGGCAGCATCCACGCTTCCCTCTGGATTTTTTTTTTTTTTTACCTGCATCTTTGTGCTAATCACAGAATCCCAGAATGTTTTGTGTTGGGAAGAACCTAAAAGATCCTCTCGTTGCAACCCCTGCCATGGGCAGGGACACCTTCCACTGGAGGTGGGAAAAGATTGAAAAAATGTCATAGGTGAATCATTTTCCAGGGATATTCATGTCATAATGGGATCCAATGGGGGCCATTATGGCTTTTATCCAAGAAGTCTTCCAGGCTACAGGTGTGACCTTGCTTTTCTCCATCCTGGAGAGTTGTGTCTCAAGCTACATCAGGGAAGGTTTAGGTTGGATATTAGGAAAAAAAATTTCACTGAAAGAATAATAAAATACTGGAATTGTCTTTCCAGGGAAGTGGTGGAATCGCCATCTCTGGATGTGTTTAAAGAAAGACTGGACATGGCACTTGGGGCTGTAGTCTAGTGAGGTGTTGGGGCATAGGTTGGACTTGATGATCTTAGAGGTCTCTTCCAAACTAATTATTCTGTGATTCTGTGATTCTGTGATTTTGTGATTCTAGAATTCTGTGATTCTGGGATTCTGTGATTTTGTGATTCTGTGAGTCTGGGATTCTGTGTCACCATCCTGGCTGTAAATCCTGGGAATATCCCACCACAGGCACTCCTAGAAGGGAGCTGGCTCTAGAAGGAGAATGGAGCTGCCTCTGAAAGCCCTGGGAGACACACAAGCCCAGCGGTGATGAAATCCTCCAGCTGAGGAAGCTGCAGTGTGGAACAAACTGCTTAGAAGAACTGGACCTTTTCCAGGTGAACATCCTCAGGGTGTGCTGTGAGCAGGGCAGGGTTTGGTTACTCCACTTGTGAATTCATTAGCTGGGCTCGCTCCGTGGGCAGGGCTGTGCTGCCCTGCTCTCCCTATTGATTTCTGTGCCCCTGCACTCCTTCTTCCCTTTTTGTCTAATAAGCAAATTTCATTACCTGACTTCACAATTTTTCCTCTGGGCCATTAGAATTGCTTGACTGTATTCCTGGCAGAGCCCTTAATTAGAGATGGATCAGAACTGATGTCATTAAAGTGATCCATTAACCACACTCTTCCTGTGACTCCAAATGCAGGTGGCTCAGAGAAAATGTGACCTGGATCCAAATGGCCACTGGGTTCACTGAGCCCCAGACCTCCTCAGACAGCCAAAGATTGAGGAGAAAAGTCAAATTAAACCTTCCACAGATTGTGCCTCAGTTGTCCTGATGCAGGAAACGTCTCTGGGTTTATCCTGCAACCAAAGCATTTGTGATGTGTAATTAATTTCATTTCTCACTGAGCTTTTTGGAAGGCTGGGTCCTTACTCCAACAAGGTAAAAATGTTATAATTTCTCCTCTTCTGAGACACAGACTCTCCTCTTTAGGCACCCTTGAGAGCTCTCTGGAAGCCAGTCCAATTTTTTTATATTTCCCTATAAACCCCAATTAGGTTGGAATCTATTTGCTGAGAGAGACATTTTGGCTTTCTGCTGCCTTGTCCAGCAGCCCGGGCACTTGCTGAAATAAATTACAGCTCTTTTTAGAGCTGGACGTGGCCAGAGGTGGACACAGAGGAGCTGAACACGATGATCTCAAAAGAGATGCTCTGAATTAAGCAGGAGGTTGCTAAGCCACGAGACTGCTGCAGTCTCCAGCCAAAGTTACAGCACTGAGTCCTTGCAGAAAATGGGGTTTTCCAAGGAAAAAAAAGTCTGCAAGGACATAACCTGAGCTGGTTATAGCTGGAAAAAGCTCCTGAAGTCATCCAGGATTTCATCTTTTACCTCATACAGCATACACAAGCAAACCAAGCAAACCCAAAGAGCATCCCTTGCCCCAAAATCTGGATTCTGCAGACTGAACTCTGCCTGGTTCTGGTGATTATATTTATTTATATGGACATTCAAATAAAAATAATGTTTCATTTTCCCCGTTCTTCATGGGCTGCCCCAGTTTTTCCCCAAGGATGGCTCAGCACATATCTCACATCATCATTTTGAGGGCTGAGACTGGATGGGCTTTAAGATCCCTCCCAACCCAAACCATCCTAGGATTTCATGATCTTTCTAGAAAGTTTTTCCCACCTCTCCACCAGGCAGAGAAGGATAATTTGGCCTTTCCCTGGACCTAGCAGGGCAGCACCTGCTAGCAGGGTGGGGTGTTCCCTTGCACAGCTTGACAGAGGCATATTATTATTGTTATTATTATTATTATTATTATTATTATTATTATTATTATTATTATTATTATTATTATCTGAAATAACACGTTCCTTTGTCTGTGTCCTACCCCACAACCTTCAATCGAGCCTCGCTGCTCTGTCAGCCCTCGCTGCCAATTTTGCTGCTTTCCCTGTTTGCAGAAACCTTAACTCTGTGTTTGAATTGGCCTGCAGGATGTGTTTGAGGAGGGCCAGGGACTGAACAAAAATGGGAGGCTCTCATCCCCCCAAAAAGAAGTGTAATTTGCCTTTAAAGGCTCTTAAACAGCAAACACATTCTGTCTGATCCTCCTTAATAAAGTATCCCAGCAGTGCTACAGTGCCTTATTTGAGGTCTGTGCAGTCTCATTAAATTTGATGTGTCACAGAGGGCTTGGACATGTGAAAGGGAGGCTGCAGGAACCAGGATTGAAGTTGGCCAGATTTGCTAAGGAAAAATGATTCATTATGGCTTTGCAAAATGGACACCCTTCAGGCTCCCCGCTCCACTGATGGTGCGAGCAGGGAACGGGGAGTGGAGGGGCCAGAGCAGCCTGCAGATTTAACCCTTATTAACAGCTGCTTCAATTAAGGATTCGGTTTGTTCTGGGCAGATGTGCTCACCCTCCTGTGCTCCGAGTAAAGAAAGGAAAGGTTATTAAAGATTTAAGGGCTGGATGGTGCAGTTGGCAACTCGGGGCTGGGAGGAGGGCGGAGGCTCCCGGGTGTGCTCAGGTGCTGCAGAGTCCTCCCTGAGCCAGCCCTGAGCCCAGAACAGATGCTCAGAGCAGCATCCTGCA